TCTTTTATAATTTTTGTTTAAAATTGTATGTTTAGAGTAGCTTTGAAAAACAGTGTAACGATGGAATCCTTGAAGCAGAGGCAGCTCGGATATTAATTGGTGCAACCAAAAGCTATTGCCACATCCGAGGAAAGTGAGTGTAACACTTCTTTAATTGATATTTCCAAAATTGAACAGATGATAAAGAATGAGCAAAATGAGAATCAAATGTCCAGATTGATCAATCTATTATCTCATCTAGCTATATCCACGTATCTTCTGTCTGTTCATCTGTCCATCCTTCCGTCCATCCATCTATCCATGTATTTTCCATATTACTTGTTTATATTTTTTCCCCCTGAAGTTTTATAACCTTGGCAACATTAGAGAATTCTGGAGGAAGATCTGACTGCAGTGTAATTAGATAAGAGATTAGGGGGGCCATAAAATGGAACCTGTATAGCTTCAATTACTCTTATAATTATTTTTCCTTTATACTATATTCATTAAATTTATGTATAGAGGATGTACAGAAGCCTGGAGGCTGCTATTAGACTGATCCCTGGGGTGGAGCAGGCTCTGGAGGAACTGACCCAACTGCCTGTTGATAGATGCAATTAAGTCTGATGGGAAAAGTGCAGTGTCAGAGATTTATTGATATCTGGTCACAGTCCTGGAAAACACGAGATAATGGATGGTCTAAGACAAAGCTATGGGGCAACAATGATAGGAGATCCTGGCTGAGCGACAGTTAATAGTTCAGCAACCTGATAATCTATTTGGGGACTCTATGATCAGTCCCTGGGATAAAGTTTGGGAAGGGTAGGGCCTTCAGGGTTTTGGAGAGGCGTGGTCTAGGCAATGCATGACAAAGAGAGGCTTGATTCTTAACCTCACAAAACTGGTCTAGAGAAGGTGTACTTATGTTCTACCTCAGGTCAGGAATGGTTGCAGGAACAGTGGAAGCAGGAGTCTCATGATGAAAATATTCCTGTACCATGACCATGGGAGGATAGGTGGATGGATGCAGAGGCTTGGGACTGAGCATATTTAGGAGGTTCATATTAAATTTATATTGGGTATAACTTCTCCTTTTATATTATCCTAAGTATAGCACTTGGTTTTTATTATAACACACATGTATATTTTTCTCTGTTAGATTCATGAGTATATATGATGTTTCAACTTATGTAAGAGCCAGAAATTGGCTTATGAAGTTTAAAAACCTTTTAACTTTCTTGGACTATCACAAAGAAAAGATACCTTTTATTCTACCTGGGTAAGTACTGTGAACCTTTAATAGCAATATACTTGAAAATATGACCATTTCTACATTGTCAGAATAGATTACCTTGATTTTTCTTATTTAAAAAAACTA